AAACAGCAAGAGTCTGAGTACATCTGGTGGCGTTGATAGAAAATTGCAGATCTTGGAAGATCCATTGCCCGGTAATGTGATTTATAGCATGTACGCCTTGCATTATAACATACAACATACATATTTTACAAATGTAAAAAATACAATTACAGCGATATGTTGAATTCAAGGAAAGTATGTATAACGACGAGGAAAAAAACGCGTGTTAATCGGTTGAGCGTAAGAATTCAACTGACCACAATTAATTCAAATTGCACTAAAAAGCCCATTGAAGCCCAGCAACAATTTTTGAGAAGTATGTATATAAACTAAGTGTACATAAACCCTATCGTAAATGCTGATGCTTTGTGGTTGATAAAAACATTGAAAGTGCCAACAAAAAAATATATGAAAATAATTGTGTACCTAAGAAAAGAAAAAGTGTGAATTTTCACCGAAACATTTTTTACATGGACTTATAAATTGGGAAAATTAATTATTGATATGGCATACCCCTCCTACAGTCTTCTGAAAATTAATTAAAGATTAATTAGAGATTTTTAAGAACTGGCTCCGCAAATTTCTTAATAAAATTAATTTTAGCAGCACACTCCAAATGCAAACACTCATTCAATAAATTTGTTTTGCAATTTGCGACACACCAATCCCGTCTAAATGTACCTAAAATGCAAAAAAATGCAGTGCGCGAATATTGCGACAACTATTTTCTACTTAGACTATCGAAGAAAAAACAGCTGAAGGCCTCGCCGAATAGTAAAGGGCTACAGCGTAATGAAGGCAACAGAAAATTCGCTAAAATTTGTCGTTATGGCGCGATGCTTTCCAACTGCACGTCGATGCACCTGTACGCCAAGTGTCAGCTGCCAACCGAGCGATAGTTGTCTGTTTGTCTAAGTGAATTAACAATAAGTTTATACTAAATTAGACAACAAATGCAGTAGCACCTGTTTTTGAATCTTTTGCAAATATTATTTGTACATGTTGTGCACAGAGCATGCGCCACAACAATGGGCCGAACATAATGACTAAATCACGAGCCTTGCACAAAAATTGACCTGCAGTGTCGGTTAGTTACGTAAGTACAACATATGCTACCGTGGCTAAATAAAAAACATATCTTGTATTAGACCTTAAAACTACTAAGCAGCAAAGGTATATAATTTTTTTTTCTTAATAATGAATAATGTATATACAACAATGTATAGTACTTGACATAAAATGCATCGGGCGCGAAGTACAATATATGGAAATAGGATATACAATTTAGAATGTATACGATTTTACTCTGCACATACTTTATTTCTTTTGAAAATGATAATTAAATGCATCGTATATATTATTTCCTCATCACAAAAAAAAATTAACTATTCTATTGCCGTTTTGCCTATTTTCTATTCAACGCAAGATAGAGTATATATCCAATCGGAATTGAATATATACTCGATTTCTATATATATTGATATATAATGATGCATTTTTTGCCTATATAATTGACTTTTATAACAAAAATATACATAGTCCAAGAGTCAGATGAAAATACATTTTATGAAATCTTATAAAAACAAATCGAATGGTGATATAAAAGAAAAACTGTATCTTAGTAAGAAATTATTAGCTGATGTATATAAATTTGAGGTTAATAAAAGGTTTATCAGAAAAGATTCAGTGTTCATGCAGCTATGGTTTCTAATTTTCCATCCCACCCTCTAAGATAATTTAACCAGTTTTAGATTCATTGAGTAAAAGTTATTTGAAAGCAAAATTAAAATAAACATACGTGTATGTGCTTTTAAATAGGTGTGCTATGTTTTTCAAATTTTATAAAATTATTGATTATAATTATGTCTAAAATGAATAGTTTTAATTCCAAAATTACATACCCTACCATATAGGATAGTGATTTCTCGGTTTTGAAAATCATTTATATATCTAAAGTGGTATTAGACAACTTTAAAAATCGTCAATGCGCTTGGTAAGCTAAATAAACCTTTTGGTTATTTTCGTGGTATACTAGTGCTCGGCTGTAGGCAGCCATCTACAATTTGGCATGATGCCTAAATCAATAGTGCTTTTGTAATGCTTCCCAACGGACAGTGAAGTGCCTAGTGTTGCCTAAAGCCGCTTCAAAAAAGAAGCTAAATCCAATATTAAAAATAGCTAGACTACATTCAGAGCAAACATTTTTCTTAAGCAGCTTTGCTACTACTGGCCGTTGCGTTGCGAAATCGAAGATATAGCTAAATTGACATAAATGGAGGTGTCATTTCGTAAGGAGTTGTGGCTTCCTTGTAAGTGCTGCAATTGGGCTGATGGAACGTCATTGGCATTAAAATGGCAAATAGTGAAGACTACAAGGAGTTACGTTTTTTAAACATAATATTAAGTATTTGAAATGTACGCAACTTTCTTTAGTTGCATGCGCGAACAGTTTTTTGCATTCTAATCTGCTATATAAAAATAGTAATTGTAATAATAATTATAGAATAATTCTAGATAGGGTAATCGGAGTAAACGTGGAAAAAATCTGGTAAATTGTGCTCAAAAACAAGATGCATTTCCCCAAAAACATAAGATGCGAAATAAAATTTGATCAAATTACTCATAGCTCACATAACAACACAATTTTAAAGTTACATGTGCATGCAACATTGCCATTCCAAAATTATATAAATACATATTGCATATATATATATGCTTACTACGTTTATGCTAGGAAAGTCGCAATGATTTAATTTAAATATTGCCTCTGATTAGGCTTTTTCAATCCGAAAAATAGCAAATAAGTTTTAATTCATTAAATTTTACTATGTATTCCGTTTGAAGTCATGGTACTATATCAATGAAGCGATATTTTAAAATAGGAATAGCATAAACGTAGTAAAAGTTACATAAAAGTTGTGTGTCTACTTACATGCTGCACAAAATTGTTATTGACGCTGTTTAGCATGATTTTTTTTCCAATTCAAATTTCTCGTACTTTAATCGATTCTCTATAATTTGATATATCTTTATTATTTTTTTTTTTGTCTTGTTAAACTGCAATATTAGAGAGGAAATAGTCCACTCTTAACTTGTTAGTTTCCCATTAATGTATTTATTTTTTTCTAGCATGAATATAATATATATGAACTCATCTTTTTACTTGTCATGTGTAAGGCACAATTGTTTAAATTCTATTATTATAAATTTAAGGAAATGTATGTGAATCTAAAACGAAGTACGAAATTTTAAAACGTTTGAAAATAAAAATATGTGTGTTTCTTTTATAAGGCAAACTCAAGTACATTTCTGTATCTAGGCTATTTATATTTTTTAATGGTGCATAAATTGTATATATAAATGATTGCTCTGCTGCGATTACATTAATTGTTTGTAATATTCACGGTGCTTTGAATGCATACACATATGTATGTATTTATTAAAACCTTTAACTTAGTAACACTTTGTTAAACTTCTTCGGAGTTTTAAGCAAATTGAATAACATGACATTTGAATGCAGCTTGTACATATGAACACATACTTATATACGCATATCTACATACATATGTACATGCATTCATACGTTACTCTTATGTGTAAAAAATATAGCGAAAAATCTGAAGGGTAGCACGAGAGAGTAGGTTCTTGCTCACATTCTCACGTGGAAACACTGAGAACATCTCCATTCGGTGCTGCCAACTGCCGCTTCAAAAACGCTAGGTGTATCCACTTTTAAGAATAGGTAGAATAGCTTAATTAGATTTCTGTTTAGTAATTTGCAATAAACGGGGTTGCTAATACTTTTCATTTAAATACAAAAAATGTTATTTTCGTTTAAAATTTCAACTGTAGCCGATTTTAGCTAGAAAATAGCTTAGCAACAGCACCATTATACGAAAGTCATTACTTATAAAAGTTTACGTCGACGCAAACAAGAAGAAGGATATGTGCACATATATACACATATGTACACATCTAGGTTTGGGTCCCTGGTATGTAAACTGCTCCAATTGCACTACCTACTGTTAGTAAAAACATTGAAAATTATTGACATATTTATTCTCTTAATACTGTTTATAACTCATTTTTTATAAATCAACGTTCTCTGCATGGTCAGTACACAAAAATATGCAAATATTGTAACCAAAATGCCGCATTCATGCCGCCATTAAATAAAATTACTGACGCTAACATTTTAAAACTGTAACATACTAACTGTTCAACTAATGTAGTATACAAGAAACAATTTTAATAAACAATGACAAGAGCAAATACTAAGAGCACGAACAAAAATCCTCTAAAAAAGACGCACATTGCTTATATATATTTTACACATAATTATATATCGATGGTAAACTAACTCAAATTTAATTGCCATATTCGCCAGAATTCGTACATATGTATGTATATATCTGCGCACGCAGTGTGAACCTTCCCTTATACATAATATATATGCTTTTGTTGATGCTTTTTTCGCTAGTCACACATATACATACATACATTTGTATGGAACTATACATGTTCTGTATACACATATGCCTGTATGAATGTACTTGATTTGGTTGATTTTTTTTGTGTTGCTACTGCCTACCTTACTTGTATTTTGTAGGAGCTATAATTATTGATTTTTACGTCACTTTTTTGTTTCGCTGTTCCATTTTATTGAAAACGCACTCCACAAATGAATGAAAAAAAAAAATCTCACACACCTTAACCACAAGCAGCGTAACTCGGCGGTATTTGCCGCGTAGTTAAACGATTTATATTATAAAGCAAATATCACACAGATAATTTTATTCGTAACGCAACCGCCTGATAGCCCACAAAGAACAAGACCGACTTAAGTTTATCAAGACTTTTGGTTTTAGTTTTATAAAACACAAGTAGAGATGTCTGCGATGTATATAAATATCGTATGTATCGATACTTATCGTTTTGATTTAATGGGCTGTATTTTAAAGTGATATCGATAGTTATGTCCATGCTGTAGCACACGTTGATATACAAATACACAACACACAATCGTAAACGCTTTGCCGGTGCACATTTCATTTAAAAAATATTTTATTGTTATAAATAATAAAGTGTTTGGAGTTTACTTGGATTGGGTATATTTAACGGCAGTATGTAGGGAAAACCATCAATCTCAGTTCTGAAACCATATCAAGAGTTGTGATATTTCAATGCATATGCACCTATGTATGTACGTGTCTTCATTTACTGCTGCTTCTTTTTCTATAAATATGTTTAGATACGTATGTACATATGTACATGCGTGTAAATGCGCACATTTCTTAATCTGCAACTCCTTACATTGTTCATTTTTTTTTTTTTACAAAATTTTAGTCTCGTATACTGTAAACAACGCCTGATACATGATTTCAGCATATGACGTGCTCGCTATTAGTGCACCAAACAACATATTACTTTGCTTAAACTTTATAAAGATAACGTGGTGAAATTATATGAAATGAAGTTTTGCGAATCATGTTGAAAGGTAGTGTCATGCCAGCGAGTAATTTCGCGGTACCGCCTGTAAACAGGGATGCCACATTGCAGAAAATAAAATAAATAAAGAATTGTTATAGCATTATAGGTATATGATTAAGTCTTTAATTTTGTAGTCTTTAGTTGAAAAAAAGTAAAATTTTGCAGTCGGACGCAAACGGTGGTAATATTCTATGACAGTCCAGGAACAGCATATGAGGCTACCCGACAAATGTATTAAGAGGTATTGATAAAGCATATGCTACAAAAAAGTTCAGTGAGCCATTTTAATATTAAAGCACCACCTTTAGTACATTTGCACTACATTTGACAACTATGATTGTATGTGGTACATTTTTTGCGAGTGCCCAGATTATTGGTCTCCTTGAATTAAGAGAATATTAGCACATATTTAAGACTTAATATTACGATACTTTATGCTTGGTGAAGATGCACGCTAAGACGGACTCTCGGGAAGGTCCACACGTAAGTGTATAAGGGGGTTGCACATTTTTGGATGCCTTATATTTTCCTATCTGTTTCCTTTGAACAGACATGAGACTGGATTTTCTTGCGCAAAATAGATACTGCCGGCAGATGTTACTACATAGACTAAGGACCATGGACCATGGACTATACAACGCTTTATTGCCTCACGTCCGCTACTGCGCGCAGGGCTATTGTCTTTTCTAGTGGGCAAGCACAACACTATCGGCAAGGGCTTCTTATGCTGGTATAATTATTTCCGCACTACCTTAGCAGACACCGGTGAAGACGATGTTGAAAAAGATAACGTGTGCTTAGAATACCACACAGTAGAATAAAAACAAGTAAGAGGTTCTAGTCGGGAGCTCCCGACTAGGAGATACCCTGAACCCTCTTATTCAAACACCTTATAAATTAATAAAAAAAAGTTCCCTTGGCAGGGCTCGAATTTGCAACTGACCGCATTACTTACTGTCGACTCTACTCAACAGCCACAACAGAAAAATAAAAAAAATAATACTTTCCTCGGTAGGGCTCGAACTCACGACAGACCGCACCACTTGCTATGCCTCTACTCAGCAGCCACACCAACAATTAAGTACTTGTGATAAAAAAGGAACTAAAATAACATTACAAAAAAAAAAGATACAATTACCATGCTATTAGAATGCGAAGCAGTCGCGCATGAATGTGTGTGTGTACATGTATACTGAAATTCTTAAAGCTGCTGCCCCATTCAATTGCGCAGTTGCATATAACTTTGGTTTTTCTTAACCGATCTTTATGAAATTTTCTACAGTATATCTTATTGTACCATAGAATATTTGTGTATTCTGAAAAAATCAATTGCATTTAAATTGTGGTTTAAATTGGTTGGCAATAAAAGTTGGGTTATTTACTTGATTTATAGCTCTGGGGTGGTAGCGGGGAGGTGGCGATAGGTATAAAATGAAAGATACTTGAAATATCTATAATATTCTAGAAGCAACATATCATGTTTGGTGGCTCTAGCTCTTATTATTTACCCAATTTGCTAAAAAAAAACAGTATGTCGATATCGATTTTTATCGATTGCTTGGAAACGGAGTAAGTTATCGATTATCGGAAACAAACTCGATCTGCGCGGGAACTAAGAGCATCTACATCTAAAATTTCAAATTTTCTCTAGCTCTTATAGGTTCTGCTCATACATACGGACGGACGGACGGACAGACAGACGGACATGGCTAGATCGACTCGGCTATTATATATATACATATATACTTTATGGGGTCGGAGATGCTTCCTTCTGCCTGTTACATACATTTGGATTTTGCAAAAAAAAAATTTACCCTTATACCCATTTTTAATGGGTTTAGGGTATAAAAAAGTACAATAACAACTTTGTGATGAGCGGTCGCGATCGTCAGCAACGTATGCAGAAAAGAGACTGATAATTTTATTTAATTTTTAAATGTCTTTACATTGGTTCAGTCTTTTTTACTATGCATCATGAAAGCCTACGGCCGAAAAGTGTATCCTATACATATAAACTTCACTTAAGTATATTATCCAGATAATGTTCGTGTCTTCCATCGCAGGTAGAGGCTATAATAGCTCCATCACTAAGTTATCATTGTTAAATTTGGGACCCGGCGTCTCGTCAGTTTGATGCTCACGTTTTCTTGCGAACGTAGCACGATACCGTATTTAAAAATAATGTCCTCTAGTCGGGTCACAGGTAACAGTTTAAAGTTTCGCAATATGGAGACTAGCAGAACTTTTATCTCTAAAATGGCAAACTTTTGTCCGATGCAATTGCGTTGTCCAGCACTAAAAGGAATAAATGAAAAAGGATGACGATCCAAGGTGTTTTCTTGTAGGAAACGTTCCGGTTGAAATTTCGAAGGGTTCGAAAAATAGCGCGGATCTCTCATTATATCATAAACATGTACATTAATTTGGGTGTTCTTTGGCATAATCAAGCCATTAATAGCACACTCCTCAGTGCACACGCGTCCTAGGAAAGGAACTGGAGGAAAAAGACGTAAAGACTCCTTAATAACACATTCCAAGTATACAAGCTGATTATAATTAAAGACGGTCAGTTCCATATTGTTTGCGAATAAGTCCTGCAGCTCCTCGAAACATTGATCTTGAATATTCTCATGCAAGGCTAACATGAGCAGGGTAAAAATTAAACAGGTGGATGTTGTGTCGTATCCCTCGAACATGAAGGTGTTGACCTCGTCACAAATGCCCTGATGATTGATAAGTCCTTCATTTTCCGCTTCCAGCAGTGTGTCCAGCATCGCATAGCGTTGTTTCCGCCCATTTTCGCTATCAAGTACGGTTCGCCGTTTGGTTTGCGCTCGCTTTCGTTCAATGATGCGGCTGGAAAAGTCATGCGCTATTTTTAGATTCCTTACATGCTCTTTATAACTGCCGCAAATGTAAAAGTATGGCCAAAAATACATCAATGGATTGCAAACGCGTTCTACCATAACAATCTCCAAAGCGTGTATGGCTTTACGATATTGGGCGCCTTCCGCCATGTCATCAAGTTTCACACCCAGAGCAGTTTCTAGTTAAAAAAAAAGAGTGGGTAAATCATCAAAAGCAAACAAAAGACCCATATCATTTATGTATATTACTGGATCGGAGATGTCTCCTTCTATGCGTTACACGACAAATTTAGTATACCCTCCTCAAGGGTAGAATAAGAGAATAGCGAGGCTAATGTGCCTATATATTTATGTGAAACCGTATGATTGCAGTAAATCAATGTTTGTTCGCTCAAAAATATACGTTTGAAGTTGTGAATGCAATAGAAAAATAGAAAGATTTTCATCTGTCCTACTGAACACTCATATTTTGTGGATAAATGCCTTGTTCTGCCTATTGTTAAATTTGTGCAACTTCTTGAGGGCAAAGGTTTCTAAATCCAAATCTTACCGCAAACATTGTTCAGGGTGAACTGAGGAATAACCTGATGAAGATCCAATTCGTCGTCCACATTTTGAAGTAACACATCTACTAGCTTATGGCACTCTTCTCTGGAAGATTCAAGAATTTAAACATAACCTAGTGATATACTTAAAAAAATATATATATGTATATACTTAAAAATATCTAAAAACTGTTGCAGCACGTTGAAATGGAAAGCCGGTGTTAACATCTTTCGCCTAAATTGCCACTTTTGATCTAAAAAAAATAAACCGGATGAACTTAAAGCAATTAATTAATAAATTGACACATTTCTTACCTGTACTTATAAGTAATCCGTCACCCAAAAAGGGCCTCAGCAGCTCATACACAACGTTTTTTGTTATCAACTGAGTGCTCTGAAATATATCCTCAGTATCCTCAGCGCGTACTATGTTATACATCGGCGCAAATAAAAAATACCAAATATAACTGCGCCCGTCGGCCTTGTCATAAGCATCACGGACAAATCGAAACACCATCGCTAGGTGGAAAACATTTCGATTATAATCAATTGCCTCGTACCATATACCATACTTACACGGCGTCATCCCCAGTATATCAAAATTATTACCAAATCTTGTTTTGCCCGGCAACACAGATACCTTGCTTTCTAGAGGACTACCATCCTGTGTATGTATACGCTTCACTAGGGACAGAATAAAGTATTTTCGATTAATATGCTTAAGAAGCAGCCATACTGCTACCAATAGTAATGCAGTTGCAAGCAATATCATCAACATTATTTTTAGCTTTGTTTCGTTATTTCGATCGAGCGAAAAGCCGCACCCAACAATTGCCAGAGTAAACAAGGTTTAATATATAGAGCTGATAATGATAATCGCTCTCTTATGTATTTATTGGTAAAGTCCATTCGTACTATAATAAAAACAAAAAGATTATACAGGAGGTTAAAATTGTGCGCGTACGTGAATACAATATTTTGGGCAACAGCTTAAAGCTTGTCTTATTTATTTTTTTGGTTTGATTTAAATAGATTAAACGAGCGATGAAGATTAGCAGCTGATATGACAAGTTTAATTCAGCAGTTTAAAGTTCATCTAGATACTTGTTGAGTGAATGGTTTGAATATGTGAATTGTGCATTTGTTTGAATTTCTGCGTCTTACCCATTATTTTTTATTAGAGATAAAATTAGTGGCTAGGAAGCCAAACTTTTGCTGTTTGATACACACACAAATACATTTTTACTTAACCAATAATATTATTATTTAATATTTGCAGCCAAAAAAGTTATTTATTATTGCGTAAATAGTTGGTCGACGCAAAAACACTGCCGAATTCTGAATCTCTTTTATTCTGCTATTATTACCTTTTCTGCGTAATAGGTTTTTTAGATACTACCAGATTTAATTTCTAATAATTTATTTGTGTTAAGTTGTATGCGGGGGAGAAACGACAAAATGTGTGGGGACTTAGCAGGCTTGCAATAATTAAAATAAGCATATTTAACAGTGATTACTACAAACTGTGGTTTTGGTGATCAAGCAACGACTTTGCGTGCGCTGCGACGATCTGCTAATAAGTAATTAGAAGTCGTATTTTATTGCCTTTTCATTGCTTATAATAAATTCAAAATACAATATAAGAGATATAATTGGTACTTAAATAGGTCTGACTGTGAAACGGACTAGATGACAAATTTCTGGCAAGTACTAAACAAATTTAAACAAATAAACTTGGATAACACATGTTGAACAAATATGTGAGAATTTTAAAAAAAACAGCAGCATTTTAAATATAACAATTTGTGCTTGGCGGGCTTATTTGAAATTTATTGACAGCTTACAGTGCTAATTTATATATAAACAGCTTTTAATTAGTCACTAACAAAACATACGATACGTTTAACAGTGCCTCTATTTGTGATTACAGACTCGCTAGTGCGTTCTAACGGAGCCTCATTTCTGCGTTCGTGTTGCAAAAAAGCTGCTGTTATTTACATTTCCAACCGTTGTGTGAAACAATTCAACAGTTGAGTGGGAAAATTCAACAGTTGGAAGTCAATTCTGTTAATTACATGGATATCACTTCATTGAATGTATATGTGCTTATTTACAAAAACATGAATATTTTAAATTTGACATAATAATTTGTGATTGGATGGCTTATTTGAAATTTATTGACAGCTTACAACGCTAATGAACATTTTAGCAGTTTTTAAAAAGGCACTAACAGAAAATACGTTACACAGAGCCTCTCTTCGTGTTAACAGACTCTTTTCCTTTATATTGTCAGAGCATTTACAGATACCATACATTCAAATGGAAACGGGTGGGTGAGTAGAATATGAGTGAACACACAGGAGGAATTGGTTCCCACTTGGCCATGGTGCAGCAACATATTCCAAGCATACACGCTCCATATCCATATATGTATAGGCAGCCAAGCTTTGTCCGAATTTATTTAGGATAGATGTTTACAAATTCCAGTTAAAAAAATTTGAAGCTTAATATAATCACAAAATTTTGATATGGTATAGTTAAGGGTTTTATCCCGATATTATATAGCAAGTGTAATTATGTTTGTCTCATTTCTTCTTTGTAATTAATTGTGATTAATTGAGCATAACACCTTTAGACTGAAAGCGACGACAGCATTACTAGTATTTGGCATGCCATAAGCCGGCTGTTCTGATAACGTGCTGTGAGGGAGAGGATGTGACGTAGAATGGCAAGAGTACAGGGCAACGCTAGGTGAACCATATCTGCTTGAGACAAAAGGAAAAACACATCAAATACCCTGCTGCTGCAGTGCCAGGTATGATAAAGTAATTAAACTTGTTACCATGCTAGAGTAAGTTTATTTATGGGTAATGTTGTGTGCTTGTGCAACTGGATTAATGGCTGGGACATCAATTTGATGATGCAAAAGCTTAGTGGGAGTGGGCGGTTGTAATATGAACAAGTTGCCGTCAGCATAGCAAGAACATACACGGTTGCGGTCTTGGCATTGTCACTATTCTGGTATGCAGAACGGGAAGCATTGACATTTTGAATAAAAGATAGTGCCCTGGCAAAGCTTGTGAAGATAGTCTAATTCAGTTAGTTAAGATTATTGGAATTTTTAATATGAACAAGCTGCCGTCAGCATAGCAGGAACATACACGGTTGCGGTCTTGTCATTGTCTCTATTCCAGTATACAAGACGGGAGTATGTTCTTGGGAGTATATTACGTGTTGAAGAAATAGAAACAGGATTGAAGATTTCAGTATCTTTGGGGTACTGCTCTGGTGCGAGGGGTTTGTAAATTGGGATCGTTAGGATAGCTATGAAGGGTTCCCTAGACGGAAAATATATATTGAAAGTCTTTTGTAAAAGGCTTGCAGTACATTATGAAGATCATCAACATAGCATAGTGATTTAGAGTCGAGTCTGTTTGCTCAGCGGAAAGAGTTTGACTTCTTTAGACAAGTGTTTTAGTAGATAGTTGTCAATTCGATCGATGACAGGAGACTTACGAACTGCCCCATAGCACCTGATTCAGAATGCGTAATATGGCGCAGGTGACAGTTTCGTGTGGGGGAGGATAGCAGATCAGTTCCATTGAGGAAGCGTTGTATTCGGTGATGGTGCGCAGTTGGTGCAAGCTCAAAGGGAGTAAAGCGTGCTTGGAGCTCATCAGCCTGGTCTTCGGCAGATTGACACCAATGGCCATTTTGATTTCGGACTTTGTGCTGAGCATGTGGTTGCCGTTTAAGATTTTTGGTGGCGCGCCATAAATTAAAAGCGCCTTTCTTCGAAGTATCAGCGTTGCTGAGCGTATGATCTATATATTGTTGGCGGTGGGAGCGAAGCAAAAGGGTTAGTTGACGACTAGTTAGCTGCCATTTTTGCGTGAGCGCATCCAGCGTTTGCGTAGTCTGCGTTTTTGACGAATTAAGTTCATTCATTTGGGTAGGCGGAAGACGAAACGGACTGTCCGCGCCATTATTGTTGCTGTTACTTCGAATAGGTAGAACAGCTGCTGGAGAGTTTGAAGCTCTCGCAGCATTGTTGAGGTTTTGTAAAAAAAGGCATAGCATATCAACAATGTCATTTGTAGAGGTGATTTCTACATTTAGGTTTATGACAGAAACTAGGTGTTGATTAAAAACTGTCATCTTTTAGGTTTTGATATAGGGGATTTTGATTAGTGATGGCTAGTTCCATCCTAACTAGTAGCGGTAAGTGGTCGCTGTGTAATTCAGTTACACGAGTTATGGAAAGTTTATGGCTTGCTATTCCTGTGTAGACATAGAAATCAAGAACACTGGGGTGGGTGTTATTTGATGGAAAGTGAGTAGGCTCACCTGTTGTGAGAACATTGAATTGATAAAAACTAACTAATATTGGCAAGCGTTGAACCGCGAGCACATTGTCGCTGGTTTCCCCACAGTCTATGTTTAGCATTCCAGTCACCTGCAATCAGGAAGTTTCCGCCTAGTTGACTAAATAACCAGTTATAGTTGTCCTGATTTACAGGATGATTGGGGGCCAGTTGCAGGCGGCTCTGCAGAATTTTCCTGAGGTGGTATGGAGTTTCACCTTGGCACAGTGCAGATATGGCAGGGAGATGCAGGGCAATGTTTGGAAACGTATTCTGTTGGATATGAAAATGGCAGCTCCACCCACATACAGGTGGTTGTGGGGCGAGTTTGCCGAGATGACTACATAGCCTGGGGCTTCAATATGAAGTTTAAGTGAGTTTCGTTTATTAGCATTATGTCCGTGTTATGATAATTCATAAACTGAGTCCATTAGCATTCCATATACCGATATGGAGAGCAGTCATATTGTAATTTTACTAAGAGCTGCGTAATGAATGAGAAAGAAAGTGTGATGTAGATTCATTTGCTGGTGTGCTTGGCATGATTTTGCCAAGAGCGGATGAGGAAGGGAGGAGTTTGTTTAGTAAGTTATGCTTCTGTTATACCACTTGTGCCGTGACTGATTGATTGCCTTGTAATAAAGTTTTAGCTGAAGGTAAGATACTTTTAACGAGCATTAAGGTGGGGAGAAGACTCACTATGCTATATTTTTGGGCTTGCTATAAAAGCAGAAGGTTTAATAGGGTCAAGAAACAATAAAAGCATACTTGGATCAGGAAGTGTAAGTAAAATTTGAGTGGAGCTAACAGATTTTACGTACAACATTCAGTTTTGATATGAGTTGAGTAATTTTCCAGGGTTTTAGTTTATGGGAGTTGTCTGATATAAAGGGAAAAAGAACAACCAAACTTCACAGTACTACAGCGCTTTAGTTGAATTTTGGGAGCAACTGACAAGATATTGTATGTGGGCGTTGGCATATAAAGAAAATTTGAGATTATAGTTTCAATGCCTACTTTGAAAGTGGAGAAAATTTGAAAGAAAAGCTCATTTAAATCAGGGAGGCATAAGTATAACGGAAATGAGGTTCTTTTTATATGAGAATAATATAATTTACAATTAACGCAAAAGGAAATGTTATAGATAATTATACTATAGACAACTCGGCCTTGTTTATACGGGTAGCATCTAAAATGAGCTTGGCTACGTTGAAACTCACTACGTTGAGATTCCATATTAAGGCCAAAACTGGACAGTCATTTAAAAGTTCAAAGCATTGAACTATTCAAGGGTGAAAAGATTATATAAGAAAGGAGAAGTTGTTTAACGGTCGATAATAGATACAAAAACTGAAAGCAAAAAGAGTAGATTTGGATACATACGTTATTAAAACAGAAAGGAACAGGCAAAACATATT